TTTGTACATGTTTATTTAGTGAAGTTCTCGAATAATATTTTTTATAGTATAGTTTTTTTATACATATTGTATAGAAAGCTATAATTTTTTCAACAAAATTAAATTATTATTTTAATTTGTTTCTTGTCAATATTCGTTTTATTTAAATAAACGACTCATAAAAGCAATAGGAATAACTATATAGCGTTTCTATATTATATTTCATTATTTTAATTATCATATAATAGTAATATTTTGGATAACTGACAATTTATATGCTCTATATGACTATATGATTATGCATAATTATTGTGCTAAGATAACATTAAATATTCTACACTGCATTTAAAATTGTATAGAAGTCGGCAGATGTCAGTTTTGTTTTGAAGTAGGTATAGGTACCTACGGTCTTCCTAATTTTATATTCCTCTAGTTTTTACACTAAAAATAAAAATATTATTGCTTTTTTTTAAAACACCATAATACAATTATATGAAATAAATAAAAGCGATAATTTGTTATTTTTATATTCTTACTAACTATACTTCAAAGAATTCACATTTATATATCATTTATAAGTATAATGAAATAAGTAGTGTATTTTTGTAAAATTGTCAATTTTTTTCTCCAAGTATAATTAAAACTATAAGTACATTTTAGGTTTTAAAAATGTATAAATTATAAAATACTCAATCATTTTACAATGATTAATCATCTGGGTTGACGATAGTTGATAAAAAATATATTTATAAAAGCACTTTTATATACATTTTCGCAATATGTGTGTTTGTACGTTCGTATTAAATAAGTTATTAAATATATTATATATGTGTATTAAATGAATAATTAAAATTATTACTTTATCAAATTATCTAACAATTTATTATTATATAGGTACATTTACTTATAATTGTATATTTATATAATGTTAAGTGAATAAATACATACATTATATGAAATATAGATGCATGTGTTTAGTGCGTTCATGGACAATGGACACCATGGTACATTAATTAATGCAACTAATATCCTAAAATATCCTACCTATACCAATATACTGAATGTTTGAGTTAGCTGGTAATTTAGAATAACCATAAAACATAAAAAAAAATTACTCGAATAGTAGGCATAAAAAAGACAAAATAAAATCTAGAATCTATTACTTATTTAAATGTTTCATGTATCTACTATATCTACTTAAACATAAGAGTTGTATTTAAAATACTTAACTTTATATTTGTATTGTGTAATTATGTTTTAATTAGGTATATTATGTACTCATATTATTTTGATTTTTGAGAGATATTTTAACTTAAGCGTAAATATAAGTCTTTAAGGACAATAAATTGTGTTTTTGGAAAGTATCGAAAAAAATTATTATAAAAATCAATGATTGGATTCTCGTGCGTAGTGCGTACCTACCTTAAATAAAATATATTTCTATAAGATGTAAATCTATTCGTGTCTCAAAAATTTTTAAAAATATTACTTGTAATAAAATGAAACTAAATTCGACGTTCAAAATGGATATAGTGCAGTTTACTTGTGCGTTAACACAATCGATTGGTCGATTGAATTTGTAATTCAAATTTTGAACAATCTAATTGTACGTTATCTTTTAATCGCTGAGATTTAAAAATAATGATTAAATTGTATGTGTTTAAACGGGCTGCAGAATTGGTGATAGATTCAATGTACGAACATTTATTTTCACAAAACATAAGTGTAACGTGTAAAACATAATATCTAATACCACGGTTAACAATATAATATGGAAAAAACGGTGCGTGGTGACCGGCGCAAATTCCACAGACGTAGGTACAGTTTTACTCTCATTTGGCATTTAAATAATGTGTTCGTGTGGGCTAATAATATATATACACACATAATATAATACGTACGTATATATAATATATAATATAATATACAAACATATACTAAATATCATTATAATATACTACATAATTCACAACGCAGTTCCCACACGTCGATATTGTAGAAAGAATAGGACGCGTCGTGTGGTGTTGCGGGGTAATGCACCGCGGAGGGAATAAAACATCTCGAAAGTCATAAAAAGATATATGATATTATTTTTATTACAATAAACACGCCGTGATCGCAGCTGGATAACGTCATGTTCAAAATGACCACGATAATTTTTTACAACATAATACGTCTTCACCCTTGATGTATCTGGGACTTCATATCCGGCGGCGGCGGCAATGGCTGCAGGGGGGACGAAATCCAGTTTACGTGGTATTTCGCCGAAATATTATTTTTCGAGCACGCGTACCGATATGTGTATACGTAATACGTATAAACTATAATATATTATGTATAATATATGCGTATTTTATTTATATATATATATATATATTATATAAAGGCAGGCAGGCAGGTAGGTACTACCTGGTGGCGGCAGCGATCCAGAGAAGTGATCGGTAGCGGTGGGAGAGTGGAACGAGGGAGACACAAATCGTTTATTTGTGACCGAAGGGGTGGTTGTGGTGGATAGGGGATGATTTGTTTTGACGCCAGGTGCCCATGGTAACTGGATTACATAAACGGCCGCGGTGGGATCGCGTGCGACGAACGGTTTTTCGACGCTGGCACCCTCCCCTTGCGATACCCCACTCCACCCCTTACACTTCCACCACTATCACCTACCAACATCAATTCTCCAACACCCACATGTGCAGCCAATGATACAATGTATGTATACGTACTGTGTGTGTGTATACCTACCTGCGAAAATTCGGTGCAGGATGAAACATGTGAAAGCCGAGCTCGTCGTCGCACGTGCGTTGCCTGGCGGTTGCAATAGCGGTGGGGTAGACTTCCTCACAAGTTTTATTTCAAAAATCTGACATGTGATCTATTTATGTCACTTTGCAAAGGGGTTGCGGGTCGCACGGTGAGAAAAGCAATTCCATCGCCACCGCCCCTCCCCCCCACCTTACGCACGCTAAAGTTTCCCTCAAAAACTACATGGCGCGTATAGGTATAATGTTCGTACATGTATGAAGTATATAGGTATAGTTACTACGATAAGTTTAATAAAAATCGTACGTCACAGGCAAAGTTTATGAATCCGGTTTTTATTACATACGGAATCATGGTTTTTTTTTTTATAATTTATTTTTTTATGTGTATATAATATAATATATACGTACAACTGATAATTCATAAATAATAAAACATTCATACCGTCCAGGCAAAGACCGCTGTGTACACAATAATAAATAATTTTCGTCCGGTTAATTAAAGCAAAACCACTGAAAGACCGTCGGGATAAAAAGGACGAACAAATGTGTAGAAGAGAGTGAGCGAGAGGGAGACGGGGAGCAGGATGAAAAGGGTATGCATACAGACCGAAGAGTTAGAGGTAATAAACTAGGCTCGTTAGTTGTCGTTTTAAGGTGGGGCGCCGATGGGTTACGATTTGTTTGGGATGTAAATAAGCCATCACCAGCGGGCGGCCGATAATTTTTATCATTATTTATTTATTTGTCTTTTCGTTATTTATTTACTATATGGATTTATTGTGCAAAGCACACACCGCGCGATTTGCTTTTTTCAGGGTTCTTTTTTTTTAACGAACATGGCGCTCCAGTGGAGAGAAAAAAATGCAATAGATCACTTATTATTTATTTTTCATAAAAACTAAAAAAAAATTTACATATTCCCACGCCTAATTCTAATGATTTTACAGTTTAAAAAAATAAAATATAACATTTCGAATGCCTCGAATAAAGACACTTAACATACTAAAATATATACATATGAAAATAGTTTTATTATTTCACTCAAATTCAATAATATTTTATTTAATGGCTTTCGAAACCTCATATTCTAAAAAAAAACACTAAAAATAGTTACTGTGTTTCAAACGCAGATCTTTAAAAGATCTTTTTAGTTTTACATAATAGTTACAATTTAAAACCTCTAACACATGTTAATATTTTTCAATCGATAATGTAACATGGGAAATAAGAAGGTATATAATCAAAATATAAAATTTACTTATTTAAAAAATGTTGGTAGGTACGATAAGAAATTCCAAAATTTTATATTATTACTTACGATAAGGCATACTTTATTTTAATCATGTAGACGAGAAATAAAATATAAATATATTAACACTCGTAAAAATTAAATTTTTTGTTAGCCATTCTACCAGGCGAGATTGTTACGATTTTTAATTGTTGGCTATAATGTTTAGTAACTTGAATGATTCAAATCGGAGTACCTATCACCTACATAAAAAAAAAAAAACAATAACGAATGGATAAAATGCACAAACGGATTAATGTTCCTGGCTATTTTATAACGTCATGCCTCGAGTAATCTGGATAATTTTGACATTGGTATGCAAATTATCGACTAGTATTACTATAGCAGTTAACTTAAAACACATGACAAAGAGTAGATCTACACTCGTTTCGATTTTATTAGGGTTAAACAGCAAGGAAATCATAGAAAAATCTGATTAAAATGTTTATGTTGTGAATACCGGTTTTAAATTTGTATTCTATACGTTCGTATTATGTATACAAAATAAATCTCGATAAATATGTATTGGGCAATTGGCCAAATAACATTTTATAATGGTTTCAATTAACATTTTGTGTAATTCGTGATATAAAGTTACGATATGAAGTTATATTGAAGTTATATTGAAGATCGAACCAGCTTAACCTGCACGTAGTCTAATCTTTATGTGTATGTATACAGAATAATAGTGAACGAAATAAAAATGTTGTATTTATGCTGCTTCAGGACTTATTTAAATTTTGAATAAAATGTTATAGCAACGACATATTCTATAGCTAATGATACCGCGCGTGCATGTGTAAGCGTTGGAGTATAGATAAATATCAGTTTCAAATTGAATCATCACACGAGGGTGTACTTACTAATATAATAGGTAGTCGTTATACGGATGACTGACATAATTTCTACTACTCATGGTGTGATTAATAGCATTATAATGTTTATATTTTTTTTTTTTTACAGTTACTATGCACAAGTCCAAAGAAGAACAAGCCAATAATGTTACCAGCTCCCAGTACCAGCGTTCCAGGACGTGCCCGGAGCCACATCATTTGTACTTGGACGGAGACATGTTCCTACAAGTGAATAATTAAATGCGAAATTTAATCGTGACAATGATTCTAATATAAACTCTAATTATTATCCCATACAGGCATTAAATGGCTTTTTGGTGATGCTCACCTGTGACGGGGAGGTTTTCTTTGCGACACATACCATAGAAAATTACCTTGGCTTCCACCAGGTAACTTAAATTTATTGGAATTTTTAAAAATATATATGTATGACGTATGATGTATATTAATTTTATGTCTCGGTTAATTTTGAAATACCTACGTACCTATGTTTCATTTATTAATATAACAGTGTTAAGTTTAATACCCGTTTGATTTTAATCAACTCATAATTATTTAAGCCAATATCGGGAAAATACATTAATAGCCGATAATCATATTAGATTTATTAAAAATGCTGGTATAAACATGTGTAATGGAAATTGAAAGTAGGTATCTACATAATAATATTATAGTAACATTTCAACAGCTGCGTCTGTACACGTGGGTACTGTATAATGGGTCATGCAGATGTATTCTAACAAAAAAAAAATTACCTATACCTACCTATATATACTTATATACGCATATATCATACCATATATTACATCAATATATACCTATATGTGGCTATGTGTATAAAAGACACTTTCATTGTTATTGTTATTTTAATTATATTTTATTATGGTACTAATTTTTAACTGACATATTAATTGAACATTTTATAGCACATATGTAGACAATAACATTTGTATACAAAGTAATATTATTAAAGCATAACTTTCGTCAAACGAGAGACTCTCAGGTGTATGCAATGAAGTAAATATTATAAGCTAAATGTATTTATGTCAATTGGTATTTTAAAACTACAAGGCTTTTTAAATCTAATAATGATCATTAATAAAAGAAAAAAATATTGGACATCAATACAAGAAAATAATATTATTACCTAACAACAATAATAAACATTGTTATAATAACAAATTATTAACATACACAATCATTTATAATTTTTATTGTCTTTAAATGCATTCCACTTTGCAGATGTGAATGGATTATATCAGAAAGTCTAACAATATTATGTTACGGACTTTGGTTATATATTTGCAAACATTTACAGAAATATAAAATAATAATATATTAAATATTTTTAACTTCACGAAATAATTTAAAATAGTAATAAATAGGCCACCTCTACCTATTATTTACACGACAACCATCGGACCAAATTTCCTAATAATGACTGTCGATCGGCCTATTCTAGAGATAACATCGACCGCGATTGTAGAATATTTAAATTAGTTCGTTGTTATGTAGAATAATTTTTATATTGATATCAGAAATATATATTGCAGGCTATTGAAGTTAGAATGTCTGGTTAGGAGTGGTGAGGTAATTTTGTACTTTTCAAAGGTTTAATTAGTAAAAATAAATCGTATAAGTTATAATAAGCGATATACTACGATAAGCCATATTGTCCATTATCTCATGCCCTAGAGTCTATACGCCTATAACAGCCAAACTACAGACCACATTGATAAGACAATTTGAATGAAGCTTTAATAAATTAATAACATACGCGATAAATCGAACTTTCATATTTTGTGAACAGTGGCACCCAAGACATGTTTTTCAGGTTTAACAAGTGTTATGAACGCCACTGCGTATGCCTGTGATGTTCTGTTATATTTTATATTGTGTCCCTGGTTGTATCCGAAGACGACAATTTGTTGAAACCGTTCTCTGTGTAGCGGGTGATAATCAAATGTTGTTTAATAGTTTATTAATAAAAAGAATACACGTTTTAGATTTATATGAGAATATTATACTTTATTAGTTTTAAAAAATATGATTTATACTACAAGCTCACTACTTAGCTCGAATGAGTCGAGTTCTAGACTGAATTGCCGACAGGACCGATACTACAGTCTTGTCGCGTATAAGCAAAATATCTAAGATAAGACGCCTACATACAGGCGTTATTATATTCTGTAAAACAAGCGTCTCTATAGTCACTATAGTGGTGGGCATATAACACAAGACATAGTTTTACCTACCCGCCAAAATGTATTGAATATTTTTCTTTGAATATTATGTTCCCCTTATTTCCAATGTGTAGCTAAAGCAACACCAAGTAATAGGGTTTACTCAGGTACACACTCCCTACAAAATCTTTAAAGGTATAACAGTCGCTACTGCACCTTGTATAATATGGTCAATAGAGTTATTTGTGTAATTTATTTAGGTAAAATTTATTTTAAAGAACTAATTTTAGGACTTAGTTTTATATAACATGATCGGTTACCTATATCAAAAATTACCGTGCTACCAGTTTTATGACCCTCGAAATAAATAAAAGTAATCAAAGTATTTATCTTTTTTTAAACGACCTTCTCAAAGAATAAAAACGATTTTAATATTTTAGGCTTCACTTAGTTTATTCTTTAACTACCAATAATTTTTATTGTTAGACAAACTTACAATGTACCCATATTTGTCAACACAATAAGAAAATATGACACCGTACACATCATATAGTAATTAGTAGTATATAGGTAGACTATTATAATATTTAACAACATTAATGATGAAAATGCCACCTATCGATAGAACCCTTCAGAACAGGATTTATTTTATTTAATAAAAATATAATTTAAGGACTAGTTATTCAAAAAATTGAATAATATGGTTATAAAATTAAATACACCAACGTCCAACACGGTGATTACTCGGTTTATGCTATTTATGCTGGTTATTCTAGTCAAGTGTATACAATATTCTACACCTAATATATTTTTATTGGAATGATAATTCAGTTATAAAATAATTAGAGCTATAATTAAATATAATTTCTCCTAAAAAAATATAGGTATTTTGTAAACAAAAGTTAAAGAAGTTGTAGTTAATTAATCATATATGTAAATATCTATAGTAGCCTACTAGATAATTATACTTATTAAGGATATTTATTTTAAAATTAACATGGATTAAATGTAACGTGTTTGAATAATATCAATGTTCGTGTCATAAGCTAGTTAAAGAAAATATAGACATTTTATCGCATTTTCAAACACTGTTGATCCACTTTTCCACAAGTTACAAATATTCAAATTGAAAGTAACTTACAATTATAAAAAGTAAATAGGTACATTTTGAACACATACCAATACTTTTCGTAAATTGTCATTGATTTTTTTGATAATGCTAAGCCTAATTTCGAAAATTATTCACTGATTTGTATCTTATTTTTACTCGATATCAGGTAAGAGGTGGGAGTAACCAAAGGGAAATTAGAGAACATGGTGTGGTTAGTGAACCGTATTTCCTGAAACTGTGTGTGCATTTTAATATTAATCCGGTAATTATTATTACTCACAGTTCCAATTGTAATACTTTCTACTTTTTGATAATATAGATAGTAGACACATAGAGGTACAAAATATCATTTTTATTTTATTTTATAACTTAAGTGAGCCAACATTTTACGACGAATTAATATGAATATGCATGACGACCGTATTTAAAAAATTATTCTACCAACCGTATAGGTATAATAATTGTATGTTAGATTTTTAAAAAAAAAAGGTTAGGATGCACAATAAATAAAAAAATCCCCCAAAAATATGTATTAACTCTTGACAATTTTTGAAAGAAAACCTAATAATAAATACTTATTAACTAATTACTAGGTAAAAAAAACAGTACATTTATTACACTATACCTAAATTTAATGCCGCGTCTTGTGGTATATTATGCGTAAATGTTTTTAAAGTCTGATACTTCAACCACAATATGATTAAACAACCAACTCCGTAGCTCTGTCTACTATAACTATTAATGAGCAATATGCAATTGTCTATATATGAATTAAAAAAGAATAATTGTGTATTCGAAGTATTTTTTCTATAGTATCTAGGTACTGAAAAAACGACACAAATAAAAATGTGCAAAAATATAGTGTATGGCATGTTTTTACTTTTGTTCAATGGTTTTATTCAAAATTACTGCAAATACGTTATTTATGTCGTGTATTGAAATATGACATTTAGAATTCGATTTAAAAACGATAGTTTAAACGTCGACGTTCTTTCTCAAGATCTCCATGTTGTTGTCGTCATCATAATATATTATAAATTACCTATGTTCTTGTCATAACGCTATCGTCTGGTTTGATTTCACAGTCCGACATCGTTCACCAATCAGTGTACGAACTAGTGCATTCCGAGGACCGAGAAGAGTTGCAGAGACAGCTCATGTGGAATTCGGCCATACCCACGGAACCGGGGTCGCCGTCTCCGTCCATCACATTGCACGAGGCCTTGCACCCGGATAACGGCCGTCTGTTGCAGCGTAGTTTCACCATCCGTTTCCGGTGTCTGTTGGACAACACTTCCGGTTTTTTGGTAAAATAAAATTACAAAAACGACAGTAATAATAGTAATGAATAACATATAATATTATAAAATATAGCATATTAACACAATTACCGTAATTATGTACGCAGTCCCATTTTGTCGTGTCTTCTTCATGTGTGCAATAATACGATAATAATAAATGTAACCTTTTTTTTATTTTATTTTTTATGGATAGAGACTAGACGTCCGCGGACGGATCAAAGTAATTCATGGCCAAAACCGCAAGTCAGACGAACCACCACCATTGGGCCTTTTCGCGCTATGCACGCCGTTCGGCCCACCGTCTTTACTTGAAATACCGCACAAGGAAGTCATGTTTAAGAGTAAACATAAACTAGATCTCAGCCTAGTGTCTATGGACCAAAGGTTTGTGTCATCTACATTAATTTTTTGGTTTAATTTTGACATATATTTCATTTATATATTTTTAAATTATAATTATCTTATATTATACCTCATTATTTTATTTTGTGTGTTTGTTATAATATGCAGTCATGCAGATATAGCTATTCGGATATTATACATTTTTCAACTCATTTTCAAAGCCAAATCTGATGTATGCATATTTTTAAAATTTAAATTTACTCTTCTCAAATGATTTACATAATTTAAAAAGTTATTTACTATATAAAGCGCATGTAATATTATTCCAATATTATATTACCTACCTATACAAAAGAGAAATTGTTTTAATCTGTTAGCATTCACAAACGTTTTGAAAATATTTATTTACATTATTTAAAGTCATAAAAAATAAGAAACAAAGATATTGTTTACTACCTATATCTTATTGTTATCAATTCGTAAGGTTTTTGATATTATAATTAAAAATATAGGTCAATCATAAAAAGGTACATTTATATTCTAAGCTGAACCTCCCCATGTATTTTTAATTTTGAGAGCAAATAGTGTTGCAAAATCCTGCAAACCAATAACGGTAATAACTGCCCTATAATTGTTAGAAGTTCAAAAACGCTAGCTAATGCATTTTGAGATAATGGAATTTCGCTGTGCCGCAGTATATAATTAACCATAATGATATTATAACATGCAATTGAACATACAATATTTTTTCAGAGGCAAGTTATTATTAGGTTATTGTGATTCCGAACTCGCTAATATGGGAGGATACGACTTAGTCCATTATGATGATTTAGCGTACGTCGCCAGCGCCCATCAAGAACGTAAGTGTTTTTATATTAAATGTTTCATATTATTATTCATTTAAACACATCAATACTTTATGTAATATAATTTACGTTAATAGTAAATAATATGCAATTCGACATCTGGTGTATATATACCAGATATCCAGATACCTCAGATACAGAAATACGTGATACTTATTATGTTTCACTTAATCTCCCAAAAACTAAACTTATAATCATTATAGGTTTTCTCGTAATAAAAACTCAATCTCAGGCCTGGTGCGTTGTAACCAAATATATTTTGTGATTTTGTGACTATATATTGATAAATAGTATAGGTAACAATATAGCATTCGTCAATTCGTCATTATTTTTACTATTATTACTATTGTATGCTAACATGGTACTATGTTTGAATACGTTATTAACAAAGATGTTCAGTGTTAATGTTTTTATGGCCCATTGTATTGATTTTACTTATAATTGTAGAAACCTCATTACATCTGAGCGGAGTGTATCGCTTGCCGTTTCCTAATTTCTTCCTCTTAAACATTGCATTTAATAATGTAGATTGTATTCAATACGTATTGGTTAATATTAAATACATCTAAGTATTTAACATTAAATAAAAAATATAAAAATACCAACAATAATAGTATAATATTCTTTTTTTCAGAAATTGTAAGTCCTTTAAAAATATATGATAAAATAATATTAGTAGCTTACTAAAAAACGATTATTTTCCGGTACATGTAGATGTAGGTATCCACAACTTACAAAATTATACACATTTACGAATTTACACTGTTACAAATAACACAATATTAGATTGATAATAAAAAAAAAAAATAAATATATAAAAAATAAATATTCAAATTCATAATGAATATTTAATTATAACGATATATTTTAGTCCATCACAGAATCGCATCATTATGTTATAGATCTATAGTAAAGTAAATATGCATATCGTTTTTTTTTAGTGTTGAAGACTGGAGCATCAGGAATGATTGCATACAGGGTGCAGACCAAACCGGGCACATGGCAATGGCTGCAAACTAGTTCCAGACTGGTTTATAAAAACTCAAAACCTGACTTTGTGATAGGCACGCACAGGCCTTTAATGTAAGTATCTACCTGAACTAATAAAGATGTATATATATCATCTGACCAGCAAGAAAACACTCCGATTCTGCGCATCACCCCACGTCACCCTACCATCGAAACTGATTACTCAAAGGCAGCGTGTCACGTGGTGATGCGCAGAAGAACAGATCGGTCCGCGGCATGTTCTCTCGCTGGACAGAGTATAGGTACTGGTATATATTAATAGTTTAGCGTAAACGCTATGCGCCCATGATGCTATTTACGCCTCGCGTTTAATGAAATGCGGACAAACAATATAATATAATATAGGCAATATAGCATCGTTCTCTTGCATGTCCCGTATACAGGGAAGAAGAAGGCCGCGATTTGTTGGGCAAGCGAACCATGGACTTTAAGGTCAGTTACTTGGACGCGGGACTGACGAACAGCTACTTCAGCGACTCGGAACAACTGTCCGGCTCGCTGACGACGTCCACCACCGCCGCGTCCACCGCCGGTTCCGGTACAACCGGGTCGGCTGGTCAAACGCAACCGTCGCAGCCTAGGCGCCGGTACAAAACGCACCTACGGGACTTTCTGTCGACATGCCGGACGAAGCGGAAACTGTCGGCGAGCACCGCGACACCTGCACCAACGGTGGCGGCAACCGTGGCCGTCGAATATCCGGCGGCCGTCCAGGCGCCTTCGTTGCCCTCCGTACCGCCGCCGACCGCCGACGTCCTTTACACGAACCTAAACACGGCGGCGCTGTACTCGGCCGGACCTTACAACGGGGCAGTAGTCGCTGATAACGGTGGATACCATCAGTCGAATTTCCATCAGACCCTCTACGACACTCGAATACCGTACCTGACGGCTACAGACAACCTGTTCCAGTATAGGTAAAATAATATAATGTTTAGTAATAATTGAGTTTATAAAAAAAAATACCAAACGATTTTATATTACACGTTGTAAATTTGTCTGTTCATTCATAGTATATCTACCCTACAACATTATTAATCTAACTATAGTTATATCGAGATATACCTATTCCTATATAGTAGGAATATTATCTATATGGTAATTCACTAAGCATGCTCACCCCTCCCCCTGTTTATCCTCTAATAATTTTATTCAATTTCTGATTTTTTAATTTTTTAAAACACTTAAAGACTAAACACAATATTTTTGAATACTTAGATTCTTATATAATTTAAGATTATCATATGATACAACCTACTTTTCAAAAAATAAAACTCTTCACTGTTTATCAGATGATTTTTATTTAAAATATTGACGAATCTAAATCAAAATTTGAATAAATAGTTTCTACTGAGCTTTAAGGATATTTCGATGATAATAGCTTTGAAAAAATTATAGTAGATAATTAATAATAATTTATCAACATTTTGTAATTTGTAATAAATTCCCATGTGTAATAAGTACTAGACTGTATATTATTACATATATTTTATATTCTATCTCTATGTAAAACTATTGTTAAGGACTATCACCCTTAATACACAAACTTAAATAACTCAAAAACTACTCATTCTAAATTTAATTTACATACATATTATACACTAAAATTAATTGACCAATAAAGTTATAACTATGAACAGTAGCGCCTAACAATAGGAGTTTTTGCCTTTTTTGTTCGTGCCGAGCATTAAATTATATAAAAAAAATCTACAAGTTTTTAAAAATATATTCATTAAGTACCTATACTTAAAACAAATAATAATCCGAATCCGAATAAATTCATTATCAAAGGATAAAAGGAATTGAACGTTCTTAGAGATTTTTCCCAGACATTTTTATTCCTCGTTAATGTACGCCATTCGTTATTTAATTTTGCAGGCCTTTGGGCAACTATTACACCGAATATCACACACCGGCCACTACACCATACATGGGCAATGGGTTTTTGGACATAAGTCCCAGGGGACCCGTGCAGTGTGGTCTGCCTACATACGATCAGCTGACCACGGTGACGACGGCGACTGTGGGCGGCAGAGAATGCGGTGACAAGCTATACGGATCGCCGCCAGTGGTGTCGATGGATCACCAGCAACAACAGCAGCAACACCTACACCACCACCATCACCACCACCAGCAGCAGCAGCAACAACAGAGTGGCGAAGACAACATAGGAAAATGTCACATGGACACGTCCACGGCCGCCGCCGCCGGTCTACCGTACCTGGTGCCATTGTGCGACGTTCAGTTCCGCACGAAGAGCTCCTCGCCACCGGTGCCGAATGGTCTAAAAATCGAAGACTCAAAATCCGAATACGGAATGCAATCGTCAGATTCGGACGTCCCCAGACAAACGGTACTCATGTGGGGCACGTGTGTTGGGGACTCTTCGTCGTCGTCGCCGCCCAACCAATCGCCGGGCGGCGGCGGCAACGGTGTTAATAATAATAACGGAGGCGGCGGCGGCGGCGTTGGCGGCGGTGTTAACGGCAGTGGCAGTGGAACGGGAGGAGGTGGTGCTGGTTGTGCTAACGGTGGTGCTGGTGGTGGTGCCAGCGTTACTGGGAATGTAGGTAGTGGTAGTGCCGGTGGCGACGGTGGTGGTGATCCGAGGACGTCACCGCAGATCAACGGCCATCCACCGTCGCCGTACGTGCAGCGGAAGAAAATGTCACCACCCGCGCCGCAACAGCCACCAACCGGAAGTCCATCCGACCAGCTTTGCAAGTCTCATCAACAAGCGGACATGCCAGACACACCGCCTAGTCCGACGGTGGCGGCTGCGGCGGCTGCAGCAGCGGCAGCCGCGTACGCTAACCACCATCACTACCATCACCAAAACCAGTATCATCACCACCATCATCATCAGCAGCATCATATGACCGGGGGCCCTGAGGTATGGACACCCCCGCACGCGCACCCACCACCACCACCACCTCCACCGCACCACTTCTATGCTTATCACCACCACCAGTGAGTGTTTTTATTTTTGAGCACAATCGTGCGCAATGCGATCGAATCCAAAAATCAAATCATTTTCTATTAACATGAAAAACTCGAAGCGAGTTTTCAGCAAACATGCGTTTTAAGTTTTTAAATAATAATAGGTATTTTTTCTTGAAATTAATTGTTTTTAGTTTTCTAATCCGATCGCGCTGCGCATAAATCATGCTTTACTGCAATTATACGATAATTGTCCATTGACCACAGTATACAATTATATTTTTAATTTCTACAATAAGTAAATCGTAATTGGTAAACATTATAAGTTATAATAGCTCACAGAACACTTAAAGTAGGTACTTAGGTAATAAAAATGAACAATAATAAAATGTTTAAGTTAATTTATTCAAAGGCATTTTCAGAGTACCTAATATTAGTTTTAAATAGGTACATGTAAATATTGTGTACATTTTATTCTATTTATTATTAATTATGATTATGATTTCGATACTCAAACTGGGATATCTATTATCAATAGTTTGACGATTGTTTAAACAAAAAAGCGGTATGCCTTAAACAAATAAAAATGTACTTCACAAGTTCAGAATAATTGACCATGTAAAAACTATCTAAAAGGCTAAGTTCACGTAGCTTTTATATAAATAAATGGATATAAAGCACGTAAAAAATGTACCGTATATTTAGTTTAGACGATAGAAATATGATCAAAAACGAGTAACATTAAGGCCCTCCGCACACGGAGATACCTAAATAAAACCGATTAGTAATTCTAGTTACTGATAAGTTTGTTTTGCGTTGCTGGCAATTTAATCAAGTGGAGTTCCGCACACGACGCTACCTGTTAGTAACTTGTCTACGACGAGTTGTAAACTAGTTGATAGCGACGCGACTTCCCAGTATCCTAGCTATTTGAGTTTCTAGTTTCCTATTTTATAGTACCTACGCGCTCATTTCGTTGTGCAAATTTATGATTTTGGTCACTAATGAGTAGCTTCGTGTGCGGAGCCGCGTCTGTAATCAGTTTGTGATTTTATAGTGATTCAAATCACTTACTAGTTTAGTTTCTTTTTAGTAGCTTCGTGTGCGGAGGGCCTAATTGTGACAATGACCACAACGATTTGTATTCCTTTCAGCAGCAGCAACAACAACAACAACAACAACAACACCACCACCACCAACAACACCACCTCCACCACCAACAGCAGCAGCAGCAGCAACAACAACAACAACAACAACAACAACAACAACAACAGCAGCAGCAGCAGCAGCAGCAACAGCAGCAGCAGCAGCAGCAGCATGGTCGATGCCTATCATCACGATCCGTACCACCACAACAACTACTATCATCTGTACAATCACACTGCTCACCACCAAACCGCTGTAATGCCGGCGCCGGCGCAGTACCCGAGTCCGTCTCAGTCCCGGTTAAATCACAGGACTGCAGTCCTCTGTTGTCCATCTCGGAGGTGACCAACACGCTGTTAAACCAGTGAAAGGAACACCAACAAAATAAACGACTGGGACCTAACCAGCACCGTCGCCCCTCCCCCTCAAAAACGGTACATAGAATCCCCGGCGGGCGAGCTCGAAGCAACCGTGTGGAAGGTGTAACGGAAATGAGCGTACCGGCCTAGCTCGTTTAATAATATAATATTTTACTGTTCGTCATGTTATGTATAGGTAACTGAGTTGTCTATATATTTTAAAAGTTCTCAAGACGTATTCGTAAAATTTATCTTTTCGACGATACGCCACTTGGGTCGTGTTCCGACGAAAAGTTTTTGTTTTTGGGGGGGAGGGTTTTTTATAGCGCGACGAGTGATATCATCACCGGGAGCAACGATACGTACTTATCATATTATTTACGACGGTCAAAACGGGTTTCCGATTCACTACGTGACGTAGGTACACCTCTATTATAATACTGAAATCGTCGTTTTTCGGCCTACAATATTATGTTGATTTTATTTTATTAATATAAAATATTATATTATTATGTACCTACTAAATGATATAACTATGAAAATAATTTCTAACTTTATATTTCTCTCCAGACTTTTGCTCGTCTATTTTAATATGTAATTCATTGCACAAAAACTGATTTTTATCAAAACATGTTTTCGTAAACCACTCCCTTATATTATATTTAAAACTTTTATGTTTGTCATCGTAAAGTCGATTTATTTTAGTTTTATGGTTTGTTTCTGTGATACGAATAGGCTACAATAATAATAATATAATTTTTGTGAAAATCTATTCGCGCTGTGTTTCGTAGACGTAACCTAGTTTGTATTTTTACAGTAATAATTATTTTCGATCGCTTCGACATGTAAAGTTTTTTCTTATCGGACAGATCATAAGATTATAAATTTTAATACATGTATACATTACATTGCTTGTAAAAATATTGTATACATAATTTACCTATCTATTGAATCTTCTCAATTTATTTATTTGTAATATTTTCTTTTTTTTGTTATTTTTGACCCATTTGTAATTTATTTTTGTATATAATTATTTATTATAAATTATTAATTTAAAATTACCAAAGGCTATTGTTTTAGAAAATATTATTGCGTTCGATTGAGTTTCGTATAGATGCAATTGTGTTTAAAATACTAAATTAATTGTATTGTCAATTACTCCAAATTGATATACATATTGCTATTCAAAAAATTTATCTGTCCTGGCATCAAAATACTATAGACTCATTTTTCAGCAATCTAGTACGTTATTTATGGCGATGACGTATTGTCAAAAACTTCTACTTAAAAAAGTAGAAAAAAAAGAGCCAACGGCACGTAGTGTTCCCAAGCGGTCACCCATCCAAGTACTAACTACGCCCGACGTTGCTTAACTTCAGTGATCGGACGAGAACTGGTGTATTCAACGTGGTATGGTCGTTGGCGACGATCCTTCTGTATTTTATTTTATTTAAACGTCAAATTTTTCACTTAATATTTGTATAAATAATTAATATTAATTATTGAATTATTGGCCGTCACTTGAGGTGGGTGTGAATTACAAATATAGTTAAAGTGACACCAGGGGAGGACGCCGGACTGTCTAGGGTAGAGGGTAGGCGATCCCCGTCTGGGCCTGGTGAAAATTTAGACTACTTGAATAAATTTGGGCCGATATCTTTTAAATATTTTATTATTAGGTCGAATTTTCCGTTTCCTTGAGGCCAATTTTTATTACCAATTTGCCCCTGAGTGACACACGGTAACACCTTCTATGCCTCTCTAGTCTCTATACCTAATTTTCTCAAAAATAAATTAAAATGGCACAACTAACTTGTGAGGTACGATGGATATACTTATATGTGCATGTCAATTCTACGTTTGTCCCTTATAGGCTGGAATGACTTAAATATTACAATATAATATTGGTAGATACCGTGGCGCCATTAAGTTTAATAAAACCTCATTGACACATAGTACCTACCTATACGTACATCCCGGTGCTGACTGCTGTTCCTTTTAAAAAGTAAGAATTAAAAGACTAAATCACTAATTTATATTCAAAATTTCAAACACAAGTCTTAGGTTGGAAAACAAACATAAAATAAATCAAAAATAAGTACCTACTTAGGCCGCGTACGGCGTACTAGTGTACTACGATCGTCGCTTCTCGAGTACAAACGTCTTACATGGTGACATTGATTATAATAATTTATAAATACTATATTATATTGCTATATACCTATTACCTAGTAGTTAGAACCTATTTATAATCAATGCCAGTACCTATACTACGACTACCTACGCTCTCGACGACAACAGGATTGTTGTACATATTAGTGTCGCCTCAGCACGTCATCTTGATTCACTGACCTGACCGATTTTAATAATTAGTTGCTAAAATATATTCCCACCCGGCCACCAGTATTACATAATTATAACAATATTTCATATTAAATAATATTATATTGATTATATTATTATAGTCTGACCGCTGCAGACAGACCGTCCTCACTCCTCGCTCGGAATCATTTTTATTATACCAAGATTTATGACCTTTAAAACAAATATTTTGATACCAAATCCATGCCATTGAGGGAATTCTGTAGCGGCAAACGTTTTGTAGAACAAACGCCGACGTTTGAAACGTTGAAAAGGTAGAAATTCGTGAGCCCTTGGTTTAGTGCTGTATTTGTTAAACCGCGATCGTGGTGTATGACATAAAAAGTAAATCGCGATAATTCGTGATAATTAGTGGCGTCCGCAGGGGGGGGGGCTAACGGGCTGAAGCCCCCCCATTGCCGTATTATTATTACTTTAAAAAAAAAATATTAATCAAATTTAAACTGTCAACTATAGTAAGCAAGACGTAAATTTCATATATGACTTACCAGAATGAATTCATTTTTGAAAAAACATTGTATTTGCATACCAATTTTCATAAATTATCTATAATTTTTCGGTAAAAGAATGAACTACTTATTGTACGAAAGACCTTGTATTAAATTGTCTAGCCTTAGATGTACATATTTTATAAGTTTTGAACTAAAAATTAACCGTGGTTAAATTGTACTGAACTTTAAATGCATATGTATCGTTAATATTTTAGCTATAATAAAAAACTTACGTATTACATTTTTAAGCTTTTTGACCGGATAAATAATTTTTTATAGACATTTATAAAAAAAAAATTTTAATTAATCAAATACAATCCAAGTGAGGACGGTATAAACAACTACCCAAGCTACTGTTACCTACCAAACAATTTAAATAAGTTTTCATTTTTTTTCTCCAATTAGGTACTTTTAAAAGCACTGAGCAGATTCAATTTCGACCTCCTAAAAGTACCAACTAGATCCAATTTGCTTCCAAAAACATACACTGGGCATCGAAGCTTATGATAAGAGCATATTTTCTACCAGAAAAGTTGAAAAGTCACAAACATTTTAAAATACCTCAAATAAACGTATGAAATTATTAGACTGGACAAAATAAAAATAAATTTGTAACTAGTTTTCAAGCCCCCCCCCCCATTGAAAAATCCTGCGGACGCCACTGGACTGATAATGAATAGTGATAACAATCGGCAAAAATATAAACAAAGTCAACCACGGTTCTGGTTACTAGAACTAAACAGACCAAACGCTGGATCATGGTGATCACAGCTTCATTTAGCAATCGGACGTTCCGAATTTCTCCGTTATCAAACGTTTGCCACTACAGAATTTCCTCATTGTGAATTGTGTGTAATTGTGTACCATGGTCCACGATGTAGAGAAGATTATAATATGTACTTATATTATCTTCTCTACATGGTATGTACAAAACTAACATACAATATACAAAGTTAATCAATAACCATGTTGAACAATGTTAACAAATAAAAATTAATTATGATTTATAACTTATGACGATATAGCCATAAATAGGTGAGATGATTGTAGGTACATTTGTAAATAATAATTAAATCATATGAATTGAATATGGTTAAAAAAAATGATAAAAAAAGTAAAGTTATTTGTAACGCAGTACTTTATTAATGAAAAAGTAATGTAACGTGATAAAAATAATTCTAGGTAATGCAAAAATAAAAATATTTAAAGTAACGAGTAACGTAATTTCATTACTTTTTAAAAGTAATTTACTCAACACTGCGCAAATTTAGATGTATAATAATTATCGTGTACATAATCATAAATGTTGTAAATTGTAGGTAAATATAATATTATTACCTATATCCATAAACATAATTTTGAAAATAAGTGATAAAGACAACATATTTAAATAATATAAAATACTACATTTTCTTCGCCAACGGCCATACCACGTTGAATACACCAGTTCTCGTCCGATCACTGAAGTTAAGCAACGTCGGGCGTAGTTAGTACTTGGATGGGTGACCGCTTGGGAACACTACGTGCCGTTGGCATTTTTTTTTATATATTTTTCTCAAACATTCATAATTTACATTTTACAAGTACCAATGAACCAAGAACGATTTTTTACAGACCCCAATTACCTTTAAACTAATTGTTTTTTAAAAACTATTGGGTACGTCATAGTTTTTGTTTCAATAAAAATTAGTTTGATAGACCTGAACAAATAAAAGAATATACAAATCTGCAATTATATAATATATATTATAATAAAATTATATTATTCAATATTAATATAAAATCGATATATTGCATTATCTTTGAAATTATACAACCATTAGCTAACTTTTGATCCTTATAAGTATTAATGTCTTTTATTATACTTTATATATACGATAACGTTTTCGGCAAACATTGATTCAACTTACTGAACTACCTTCTAGCTTCTACTTAATTTCTTTTTGTATGGATACCTACACTAGCTGACTATTGAGACGTTGAGACTCTGGTCGCTGACTTCACTAGTGTTTACTTATATGAGTTATAACATAATTACCATTCGGCATTCGCCCTATACATGGTATAGGTATGAAAAGATTGAACATGCATTTATTTAGTAATAATATTTTGT